TGTCCCCTGGATTGTGAATGGTTATAAACAAGATGGCTCTAACACACGCCATCTTGTTTAAGCAATACGTATCTGTGGGTAGTCTGCCGAAATAACTTCATAAAGTCTGAAGGGCATCAGTTGACATATGAGGATAAATAATAAAAGACGAAGACTCTGAAAAGAAAATTAAAAATGAACTGTAAGTGAAAAGATAAAGATGTGAAATTACACATAGAAGAAAAATAAGACTATTCTATTGGATTTATACAAAGAGTTGAAAGGTGTATACATATTTCCATTTGTTAATTTTAAATATTTCATTGCACTGTATGTTGATGACAATAGATAGTTAGTGATATAGTAGAGGAAATGGAAAATAAAATATAAATACTTACTTTAATTTTCAGAAACTTTTGATATTCATTTAGGAGGTTCTAGAGATTATTCAAATGAAATGTGAGAACTGTAAGATTAAAATAGTATTTTTATACTTCACATCAAAATCACCTTGTAGGTGAACTATTCAGAGTCCAAATGCAAATAACAATGTGAAATAATGAATTTTTATGAGAAATAGTAAAAAAGAGGTAAAAATTAAATATTTAATTTTTTCTGAAACTACATACTTCTAGGAACGTTTTTGTCAAGTTTCAAACAATTTCACCCACCAGCTTTATTTTTGTAATGAAATGTGATGAGAATGACCTTACCTTCTCTCTGATAGCAAATCAAGGTGCCATAAGGTTAAAAGAAATGTTTTGATAGAAGTGAAAACACTGAATTAAAATGAAAACAATTGACTTTCAGAAAATGAGTTGATTGAAGCAGAAGATCATGTGGAGGTCAATGGCGTTGTTTTCAACAAACCATTTGTGGAAAAACCAGTCTCTGCAGAGGACCATAATATATTTATCTATTACCCAACATCTGCAGGTGGTGGGAGTCAGAGACTGTTTAGAAAGGTATGCCCCTTTCGGTTTTTTTTTTAGTTTATTTTCAAATTTTTATTATACATTTTTAGTGCAAAATATAACTTTGAAATTTTCATCCCTTAGTATGAAGCTTTGGTTATAGTGTTGCAGACAAAGCTTTTGAAAGCAAAGCATTATTCATTTCAGATTTTGTTCTGTATAGATTGGAAGATAAGTGTTGAAAATCCATCAGTAATTGCTGTATATATATATTAGCTTTCATTATAACTAGAAATGTTTATGGATAATTCACATGCTGCACAATGTAGTCTTTTTTTTAATTTTGTTTACAGATTTAGGTATGATGTAACTGAAGGTTCTGCTAAGTTAAAATGGTTCACACTTATTTTTAGTTGTTTTGAAGTGACAAAATTAGAAAATTGTAGTTTGATTTTCATTGAACGGAGAAGGATGGCTTAGAAGTGGCTAACATAGGGAATGTTAATTTTTTGATCAGTCTCAAGTTAAATTCAGTGCAGAAATTCAGATTCATTCAGAATTGTTTACAAAAAGTAATAATAGAGAATGTCTGAAGCACATTTTCCAGGTTTTGTTTTTGTAATTGGAACTACACCATGAGGAAGACTCAAGTTGTATGTCAACATTCCTGCACATATATATATTTGAAAAACAATATGAAAACTAGATTACAAATCATCATATGTATAAACAGGAGTTTTTGCATATGATAATTACACTAGAAAACTTGCAAAGAATAACTTATTGCATTGGACAGTAGATGTGCTATATACACGGCATATTTACGTATAAGTACTATATACATGGAATATTTAGGTATAGTTTTTAGACCATTTTTTAAGATCAGGTTTTAATGACACTTCCAAAATGGAGATGTTAAAAAATTGTCTCAAAATTTCTTTGCAAGAATTTAGGAATTTGTTCTTAGAAATATAAAGTTAGTTTTGTCTTTTTTATTTTATTTTCAACACAAATCAGGACTTTTATTTTTAATGCAATATGATATGCTATTTGTATTTGTAAATATAAAATATGCATTAAAGTTTCAGTTGTAATCATTTGGTGAGTTTTGTATTGAATGTATTTTTGTATTTTCCTTTGTTATTGTAACATTTTAAACACACGGCTTTACTTATCTTCTCATTTCTTTTAGATTGGTAGTCGCAGTAGTGTTTATTCTCCAGAAAGCAGAGTAAGGAAAACTGGATCTTTTATTTATGAGGAATTTATTCCTACGGATGGAACTGATGTAAAGGTAGGACTTATGATAATTTGTTAATTCTGTTTCATGAAAGTAATAAAAATGTAAGCATTGCTATGAACTGATACTGTAATATAATGAGTATACCACACAGAAACACTTTGAATAATAACTGAAATTGTCTGATTTAGTGCATCTCTGCATCATACATTATTAAAATTTCCCTGAAAAATTCAAAGTCTGATTAACCAAAACATTCAGGAGTTGAGCCATTTTCTTTTATCAGAAATGGCCTGAACAATTCATTCTTTTTCATGTTGCCCCCACTGATTGATTACTGCTCATTAAATTAAAAGCTAGTTGAAAAATGTTTTTTCATAAGAATGTTTATTTATCTGAAAAGAGTAAACATAAACCTGTCATGACATTTTTTACGTTTGTTTTTTGTTTTTCAACTGTGAAAAGATAAGTAAATGGTGTGTATAAAATGGCATTTTTGGTGTTTTTAGTTACCATATGTTAAGAGTAAAATGTCCTTGATTTTAATTTGAAGACCAGTATTTGGTCACCCTGACAAATATGCTAAGTGGTCCACTCACAATTTAGAATTGTTTAAATGTTCTTATCACTAGCACATTATTCTGCAGGTTACATTTTGTTTCCATCAATAATAGTTTTTATGCAGTTTATTAGTCTTTTGCTCATTCCAAATCTCCATTGATTATTTAATTTATAATTATCTGTTTCATATCAGAACAAAAGTTATTTCAGACAATGAAATTATATATATATATATAGTGGTTGTATTATTGATATTAACTTCTAATAAGAGTGAGCTAATTACTTAAAGCAAAACTAAAAATCAACCTGGTAATGAGTATAGTTAATTAAATATATTTTTATTATTTTCTTGCATAAGGATTAGAATGCATTTTTTCATTGATTGTTAACAATGCTTCCGATATGAAACATAACCTCTGAATCACATCTAGCTTTCCTGATTCAGTGCTGCCCTCTATATGCAAACCTTTGCTCCCACCTAATCTCACATGTTTCAACATGATACTGCTGTGTTGTTGCATGCGAAAACCCTCAAATAATAGGAGTGTGACACCACCTCTAAGCACAGCTAGCTCCAGCTGTACTGATTATTAAATCATCACTTCTTCATTTAGCACACATTTTAAGATGTGTTTTTTTTTTTTGATTGGTTGAAGTATCTACAAATCCAATTGTTGTGGAAATATGTTTTTCTATTTTGAAACAATTTTACCTCTGTAGAATTTGTGGCTGTTATGATCCACAACATTAATTACACAAATATGTTCATCTTCATGCTGTCTAGTGCAGAATATTCTAGACAGACTACCACAATGGCACAGGTGCTTCTTTGTCTGTTAAAAGACATGACTCTGTGGCAGGTGGTGGAGTACTGCATGCGGCCTGGGCTTTTTTCAGGCCTTGATAATGTGCTTCTCTCTCCTCCTATGTTTACCATCTGTAAGGACATGGATTTTAAGCACTCTTTTTCAATCACCTAAATTTGCAAACAATTCTTCCAGTGTAGACATGGATTTATCTCAATATTCTGTGTCCTTCCGTGATTTTTCTTTTCAGGTATGTTTTCTTTTTTACTCCCTCCTATTTCTTATTATTCTTTACTTTCCCTTCTTCATTTGACCCCTTCTCTAGAACATTATGTTTTTCCTCCTTTCCCATTAAGCAAGTCCATGTTGAAACATTTTTTGTCTCAACTTCAGTCCTTGACTGGTTTCACATATGCCTTGGCTTACGATTGAGCTGAAGTCCCTTTCTTAAATTTCCAAATATGGAGTCTTCTTCAGGCTCTGATCCATTGTCCTCTGTTAGTCTTTCTCAAGCTCAGTTTTCTTGCATTTCCCATACTACCTTTTTATGTTATCTATTCTCCATCAATCTCATCTTGGAAGCAACCCACCATTCCCCTCAAGGTTTTACAGTGGACATTCATTCCCTTATGTTTTGTTCTTTGGTGAGTTCTTCTTCCTCAATCTTGTCCATTCTCACTTGGCTACTCTACTGCTGAGATTTGTTGTGGAGGGATGCCCTGCTTGCTCAAGTATGTTTACCTCTCTTTTATTTCAGGGACCTTCACCTGGCTCCTTTTCTCCACCAATGAATTTTTGGTGGGGTACCTGAGTCTTAGTAGTTATGGGCTGAGGCCATGTGCGAACATTTTTTCTTGGCTACCCTTATGTTCCATCTTTCCCAAGCGTTTCCTCTTCCATTTTGTGTCTCCTATTTTCCTCTTTTCTGCTCCCTGTATTCCATTCCATTCCTCTTCTCCCATCTATTCTTCCACTATCTGTAAGATTCAGTTCTTACAGTTGCATTGGTGACTATCTTTTGGGTTTATTCCTGTCTGCTCATTGTTCACCAGTACAAAGAGGATTGATATTCAATCATCATTCTGTCCCATATCCATCAGTTTCTTGACTTTAGTTTACTGTGATGAGTTTTCTCACCCTCTGATGATCTTTTTCTCTGGGGTTTTGGATGACCAAGGTCAATGTCTCTGATGTTCACCTTCATATTCCTATCTTCCCAGCATTCCGACTTTAACTTCAGTCTATACATCACAGTTGAGCTTATCAACTCTGAGGTCTTCCTTTTGGCCTAGTGTCAGACCTATACATTTGTCTTGTCTCATAGTGTGTGCTTTTGATCTTCATATTCATGGCTTGGGATTAAGGACAGTTGGGACTATTTTCATGTAGCTTTCTTCTTGTTCCATTCTGTTTGCCCATCCTCCTTAGAAGTTTATCATCAAAAGTGGCACATTTTCCCCTGTTGATGTAGCTTTTGATTCCTCTCACCTTCTGTTCCCCCATCTATCTGTGTTCTTCACATGGCTTTTTAACTGGGGCTTGTTAGCTGGCAGCTCTCTCTACTACTTTCCTGTTTTCCCTTTATGTTTGGGTTTTTCTTCCCTAGCCCTTCCTATTCTTCTTGTCTAAAGAACTGGGACCTTATAGTTGTTCTGCATGCCATTACACTTCCACTCTTTGAACCTTTAGCATCCTGTTCCTTATACCATCTTTCCCTTAAAATCTATTTCCTCTTCCTTCTTGCCTGTGGTTGTCAATGTTCTTGCATTCTATTTTATCACTCCTATATCCTCTACGTAGATTGCATTTTTCCTCCCTAAAACATTTGTAGTGCATAGAGTGATAGTGCATTCCAAACTATATCTCTTCTTTCCATTCTTATCTTTATTCTCATTTGGCACTAGATCACCTCCTTTGTCCTGTTTATGTGGTCCGTTGTTGATTGTCTGCACTTCTTTCTTTCATGGTTCCCAATCTCATCTCTTCCTTCCATGGAACCCTTCATCCACTTTTGTTCTTTTTCGTGTTACTGTCAGTGGATGAGTCTGACAGGTTATCTGCTTAACCCTATATGCCCGGGTACCCTTTATTGTGCATGGCACAAGGTTTTAGTGTCTTACATTCAAAATTTTATTAAATCACTTTTTGTTTATGTTATACCAATTAAAATAGCATAAAATCTTAGCTAAGAATCCATATTTGAATAATATACAAGTTTTAAGTTTTTAATTCTAAAAAAAAATATATAAAAAAATCCTGAATTTCCACTAGTGTAACACACATGACACATTTTGTCTTAGCATGTCGTCATCCCTATTTTATCCATCACCCGTAAAAAATGTACGAAATTAAACGTAAAATGCTCTCTATAAAATCATTATTGCTCAACCAGACCATAATTTTTATAGCCTTCAATTTTGTTTGGTTACAGAGCTATCAAAGAGAAAATCAGACCCCTCCTGCCACACCCACCCATCACATCCTCTCTTTCACATTGGTTGATAGTTCTCTCTTACGTTTCATTATATATTACCTATAACCAATAGAAAGTCAAGTTTCATCTATCAAATGGTGTATTGTATAACATTGTGTTCTGAACAGATAACTGTCACTGTCATTCTGAGTCGCAACATCATTCCCGTGGGAAAGTTAACGACTAGCTTGGATGAATTTATAATGGCTCTTGTCACATAGTTAGAAAGCTAGGAAAATTTTTAGAAGTAAGTGAATTTGTCTACTTTTTGCATGTTATTAGTCTATAATATTTGGTGTATTATTTAATTAAATAAAAATTGTTAATTGCTTTACTATAATCACTAAAAAAAATTAGGCTTAACTCTCCTTGACAATCGAGAGCAAGAAAAAAGAAGATTGGGTAAGTACTTTATTTGTTGTTTTTCATATTTACTCTTTATTTATTATTATAAAAGTAACTAAAATTAAAAATACGGATCTTTTTAAGTTATTTAAGACTAGAATAGGTAAAATAAGTAATAATAATATAATTAAAATTGTTCATGAAGTACGCACGCGAGCAGCTTGTGGGTAATGTAATTCGATAGTGTAATGTGAGCTGCACATTCCCAAGTGATTTACAACTTATAATGACACAGATAGCAGTTAGACATGATTCAAAGGGCAAGAAAACAATAAAATTGAATTATAAATAGATGTATAATGTTACGAACTTAGAGCTACTTATGATAAACAAATGTAGTTTCATGTTACAATTTATAGTTATACTAGAAAGAAAAGAAGGTTAATTTTGATTTTTTTTTGGTGGTTACGAGGTCGGTCGAATTGACCGATCCCGTTTTGAGATTAGAGTAGAGAAAATAACATATAAACTATAAGGATTCCGTAGAAAAAAAAACGTTTGAAATGCATTTAGGATGTTTTAGGGATTACACAAAGGAAATTTGAGATTTTTGAGATGACGAAAAGTATTTTTAATTTGAACATAAAAATTACTTTGCACACGGACTATTCAAAACGGACTATTCAAAAAATATATTCATGGACAAAACTTTATTTTATTAAAAGTACTTCACTAAGAAATATGACTTTTTGTATGTGAAAGACTTGTAATATTAACTGAAAAACTGCCAGATTTCTTGAAGATATACCCAATATATATATAGAGTTATAAGTATTAAATTTATGTCAACTTTAAACGAGTACAGAAGGTCACGTGAATCGGTCAAATTGACCGACCCTGTGTCGAAAGAGTTAACATATCCTTCACTAGATGGAGAAGCATGTCTTCATTTCCAGGTGTCTTTCCGTCATATTCATTACCTAACTCACTCATTGGCTGCTCACTTCCATCTTCTGTTGGAGAAGATTGTTCAGGCTGGCATGTGGATGAACCCTCATGCCTTTGTTGCACACTATTTCTGTCATCTGACAGTTTCTTCCTTGCCTGGCTATGTATTTCTTCTAGTTGTTATTCTTCACACATCATGCTGTCTCTGACTAGGTAAGTCTTACTTTTTTCTTACCCTTTTTTACAGAGCCATCTAGTTCCTTACAGGATCTCATTCAGTGGTAAGTGTTGCCTGCCAGAGTATACTTAACCAAAATCCGCATTATATAGGGCCATCCGGGCCTAATATCGTACTCACCTATGACATGAGGTGTTCAACAAGACAGCTTGAGGTATCTTTGCAGGGCTCATTTTCCTAAACAAGGCCAAATTCAGACTGTATCCACTGATGGACTAGCATGAGTAAAACAGGCATGAGATTCCTACCCATCCTCTAGGCCTAGTTTAAAACCTAGTGCTGGTCTACTTTTAAAAATAGGGTTTTCATGGTCATCCATTGTACTGTCTTTTGATAATGCACTCTTCTGGACTCCCCACCTTACTTTCACCCTCTTTAAGTTGGGAAAGCTAGATGTGATGAAAGTAGGTGAGTATCTATCAGAAATACATTTTCAGTTGGGAAAATGTTAACTTTTGGCCATAAAGCCAACAATATCTTGAAACGTTTGGTCAGTTTTAGGAGATTCATGTTAGTCTTAAATACATATATTAAGCTAATAAGAAAAGCTGTAAGAAAAGTATAATAATAAAGATTAGTAATAATAAGACAATATATTAAACATTCTAACCAATACTGTTAATGAACACTAAACACTTATGGAACACTTAAACATCTGTTGTAGATTTACTGTTTGTTGAACAATGTAACATCAGTATAACCACGTATAAGTAGAACTTTCCAACAAACCTCTCTAAAAACTGTGACCAATTATAACCCATTAACAATTCTGACAGTGTAACTTTAAAGGAGCATAAGATCTAAGTTACTAAGACAGTTTAAATGAGAAGTCAAATAGAAGGACAGTAGCAAGAGTACAGCCAAGAAAATAATATTTTTGAAGATACAAAATAAAAATGAAATAAATATTTGAATAATATAATAAATAGCTATAATACTGGTTCTATAATTAAAACATAATGGTTTTGAATGTAATAAAAATAAAATAATATGTTAAATGTATTGTTGTACTGTGAGGTGTGTCTAACACAACTACTACCATTTTAACTAGCCTCTTTCACTTAACAAAACATATAAAACAGACCAAAGGAAATAATAAATAAATTTAAATCAGCTGGAAAAAGTAAGTCTTGAGAAAGTTTATTAATAAATATAAGAATTTTAAAGGGAAGTTGCAACAGCCATAAATTAGGTAACAAATGACGTAATGTCATACCATATATATGGAACTGTTTACATGGCTAATATTATATATGAATAATAAGAGCTTAAACTAAACAGAGATTAGACCAATGGAGATCAGTAGACTAAAACTGTTCACTATTACCTTATGCAATTTCCATAGCCATTGTAGATCATGCTGGTTTTGATTCTGTTTATTTCATTCTTTTCATATAGGAATAGCACAGAATAGTTATTTAATATATATATATTTTTCATTTGCAAAAACATAACACACTTTCCAGAGAAAAATGCATACATTTAATTTTCAATTTATGGAAGAAGAACAAAAATATATATATATATACAAGCTGAAGTACCCATCTTTTGTCTGGGTTATGAACTTGAAAAATGTGGGATGGATGCTATGACATACAATTCATTTATAACTAGTGAAAGTACCTGGCTTCGCTCAGGTTATTAGTTTTGGAAATGGGAGATTGAACCTAGTTGAGCTGATAACAGAGTTGCAATTCCTGATTTTATTTTATTTTTCATTGCTAGGACTTATTAATTGAAACATTCTATGTAGCTGTCAAAATGTATACTTATACTCTGTTATAAAATTTCTTTCACTATAAATTTAGTATCAGTTAGATGTGTAATATTTAGTGTCATATAGATATGCTAGCGAAAGTATCCAGCTTCACTCAGGTTATTAGGTTGATTTATTCTAGATGACTATGTCAGTGTGTGTATTCTGAACTCATTTTAGCATGAAAGTATAATCTATATACTTTTATTACTCCTGTATGGGATGTGTCCTGTTTATGAAGGTAACCTTCCCTCTGACTTGTCTTTCGGTATTAAACCTAAATAATAATAAAAAAAAGATAAAACAGACCTCTTTAATTAGTGGAGCCTCTAAATTACAAAATAAATATTTTTCAATTTTTGTAGTTTATACATTTCATTTAATACTTTCAGTACATAGCCTCTTAACAACATTATTAGGTTATACTTTTATTGCTATGCAACATAATATAAAAGCCATTGTTGAATGCATTGTTACCAAAACACTATGGCTTTTTCTATGTATTAAAAGTTGTTATATGAGGAATCACTTCTTTTCTATGTGATTTTTTGCTAGCTTGTCTCATTAAAAAGATGTGCATGTCTGTCTGTGATTTCTATTTGTAATATAAGGGAATACACCATTAACTAATGTTTGATACAATTATTCTGACAATATAGATTCTAAATGACCAACTTATTCACCCAATTGCAATGTTGAGAAAAACAGTGTTCACTAATTTGGTAACCAAAACTAAAATTCCATTGATAAATTAAAAATGTGTACTGACTGTTATTAAAAAAAACTATAGTCATTATTAGATAGCTAAGAAAGTGTCACTGATGCACCAAAAACGTAGTACCGATATTGTTAAAAGGAGTGGTATAATCACTGTTTGGAAAGAAAAAAAATTGTCACTGTTACACAAAAAGTCATTTCTGCTATTGTTGAGAGAAATAATACTCACTGACTTGGTAACTAAAAAGATATTGTTGGTACACTGAAAAATTCCTACTGATGTTGTTGATTATTCTTGACTTGATAGTACTTCAGAGAATTAGAATTTCATTCATATATTGAAACTGTGGTAACAATATTCACACTTCTTTTCTATGTGGTTTTTCACTAGCTTGCCTCATAAAAAGATGCACATGTGTCTGTCTGACTGTTTGTGATTTATATTTGTAATATAAGGAATTACTTTATTTCTATGTGGTTTTTCTCTAGCTTGCCTCATTATGCATGCATGTGAATAAGTAATAATACCAAGGTGCACACCCTCATGGTCCACTTAGTGCAGGTGCAAAATTTCAGGTTTCTAGGTTCTTTTTTGCTAGTTTGCCTTATTTAAAAGATGTGCATGTGTGTAGATAAGTAATAATACCCAGGTGCACACCTTCAAGCTCCACTTAGCATGGGTGCAAAATTTCAGGTTTTTAGGTTTTTTCCTCTTGAAATTATGGCAGTCACAAACAGAATCACAGAAACACATTTTTATTGTTATAGATATTAACAATTTGTATTATAATTACAAGCATTATAATTGTAAACATTTTCTTTTCTGTGTCAGTGTTGTAGCTTTGGATTGGTTTCTAGTTGATGCAGTTTTTTTAAGTATGTATTTCCAGAAACTAAGGGTCTCCAGATATTACTAGTAAAAAAATTTGTAATAAAATGGAAATTCAGAATTGCCTAATAACTATGTAAGGTTTTTTTTTAATGTTGTTTAATTTTCTATGTTCTGTACAGGTATACACTGTGGGACCTGATTATGCTCATGCAGAGGCGCGCAAGTCACCAGCATTAGATGGTAAAGTTGAACGAGATAAAGAAGGCAAAGAAGTAAGGTACCCAGTCATTCTTGGAAATACAGAGAAATTAATAGCCAGAAAAATATGTCTGGCATTCAAGGTAAGCTTGGATGTAAAAATAATTCAAAATTTAGTTTATTCAATGACTTTTAAGTTCAATTAAAATAGAAAATGGTATATTTAAAGGAATTCTCCCAATTTTGTTGTCTTTGATATACTAAAATAAACTATTTTATAAAAGATATTCAACTCCATGTGATTTTTAAGATGAGTATAAAAAATATATTTTGGGTAGTGACAAATGTTAAGGAAACGTACATCAAAAAAGAACTCTAAAGCTGTACATATAAACTATAGTTTGATTTCATATTATTCAAAAGGAAAGCTCACACAGAATTTTCTAAAATTTAATTATGTCATTTCCATTCATAATAGTTGTGAATATTCTCTTGTTTTTTTATAAAGGCTCTGAATGGTGCTTTGTATTTATATCAACTTAAAGGTCATACAGATAGCTACAGTTTAAGTTGTGTATGAATAACACATTGTTTTTAATCTTTAAATAGTGTCTTGCATGTTTTGTTGTGCTTAAATGGAAGCAAATATAAAAAATATTTTTAAGCAATACTTTGTAAGCTAAGGCATTCAGTTGCTCTTGGGTGCAACATTCTACTGTTCATAATTAGTGTAATTTAAGTTGATGAAAGTTTTGAAAAAGCATGAGAAATCAATGTCTGTCAAATAGACAAAAGTTGTAAAAACTAGTTTTATTGTGTTGGCTAAAACAACTTGTGGTGATGCTGATCACAGATAAGTGAACTTAAGAATGTTTTTACTTGTTTAGTCTGTCTTTTATAAACTGAGTTATCTGTTATATATTATCAATGAGAAGTTTCTTTACATCTGTGTTTGAATGTGTTATAAACTTGCAATTCACATATAATCATGAAACTACAAGTGACAGAATCACAAAACCAGAGGATACAAACAAGAAATCATTGGTAACTTAATACAAATATAGTTGTTATGAGTAAAAGATTAAATGAATGATGATCTACTTACATGCATACTATATTCCAAGATTTAGTACATTACTGAAGGACTGTTATTGTCATAATTTGATTTTCATGTTGTTTGTTTCTATGGTTGAATAAATTTTTTGACTTGAGGCATCCCGTAAAAATCAGAAAGATAGACTTGTTAAATATTGTGTATTTTGTGTTTTAGTAAATTATTTTTATTGAAAAATGTAATTGCGCTCTATTTTGCCTGAAGATATACTGCTGTAGACTGTTAAATGTTTAATCATTTGAAAAGTATTCATTAAAACTATAAATCATAGATGCACTATTTTTTTATCTAACTGTATAATGACCAGCTTCTCTATCAGAGCATAGGTAATGTTTCTCTCCTCATATTTCATTATAAAGATAAAAATAGTGGTTGAAATTGTTTGAAATATGACAAGGATATTCCTAAAAGTATGTTGTTTCCAAAAAATAAAATATATTTTTATTTTTTCTACTTTTTCTTATAAAAAGTTGTTATTCAATGTATTTGCACTCGGGCTCTGAATAGGTCACCAGCAAAGTAGTTTTCATTTTACGTATAAAAATACCAATTTTTATTTTACAGTTTCGCATTTCTTCTTCATAATCTTTAGAACCTTCTATATAAATATCAAAATTTTTTAAGGTAACTGTTAATATTTTATTTGCCACTTTCTCTGCAATATCACTAGCTCCAACATTATCATCAACATGCAGTGCAATGAAATGTTTAAAATTAAGACATGGAAATATGTACATACCTTTTAACTCTTTGTTGCATAATCTAAAAATATCTTTGAATCACATGCATAATTTCACATCTTTATCTTTTCACTTAGTTTATTTTTAATGTTTTATTTTCCTCTCCTGTTCTTTATCTTTGATCATTTATGTTGACACATATCATGTATCTGCAGGTGATATAACGCTAACTTTGGCAAAACGGTTTAGACTACCTGGCATAATATTTCTTGTACTCGTAAGTTGTCAAAGTATAGTATATAAATTTTAAAACACAAATAATACGTAATATAAATGTAAAAACATAAATGCAGTTTGTCTATCAAACTAATACAGATAAGGCTAGAAAAATTGCCAAGCACTATGGAAACCTCTCTCAACAGTGGACTAACTCATTGCACCTCATTGCAGAAATGGGTGTATAAATGTACATTTCCTCTTGCAGTAACGACCTTCAAGAGTGAAATCTGCTCTTTCTATTAGTTATACATATGTCATTCAACTTAAAACTGTTTCTTAGCAACACAGCTTCAACTTTGCAAGTGGGCATGGAATAGGCTGTACTTGGGAATTTCTACAACAGTTTCCCTTCGAGGCCAATTCTAGGAATGTGTATCAAGTTACTGGTAAATGGACCATTTGTACACTGAGTGGTCACAAGTAAATACACCTAATTTTTCATCATGTAACTGATTTATGCTAACTAATTTGTGTTTACAGAGCACTTTATAAATGAAAATGG